AGAAAAGAAAAGAAAAGAAAAGAAAAGAAAAGAAAAGAAAAGAAAAGAAAAGAAAAGAAAAGAAAAGAAAAGAAAAGAAAAGAAAAGAAAAGAAAAGAAAAGAAAAGAAAAGAAAAGAAAAGAAAAGAAAAGAAAAGAAAAGAAAAGAAAAGAAAAGAAAAGAAAAGAAAAGAAAAGAAAAGAAAAGAAAAGAAAAGAAAAGAAAAGAAAAGAAAAGAAAAGAAAAGAAAAGAAAAGAAAAGAAAAGAAAAAAAGAAAAGAGAGGGGGGAGGCAGAAGGAGGCAGAGGGAAGGAGGGAAGGAAGGAAGGAAGGAAGGAAGGAAGGAAGGAAAGATGGAAGGAAGGAAGGGAGGAAGGAGACAGGACATGACAATAGAACTCGAATTTCCAGGCCATGGCAGACTATTCCAGAGACTTAGCCCTTACCCCTCAGCCTGTTTAATCAGCACCTCGTTGGAGACCCGTTCAGTGGTCCTCGCCAGCGTTGCTGAAAGCACAGAAAGTCTCCCGTGTTGTCCTCCACAGGGAGAGGCTTACCCTGTGGCCGTGGGTCCCTGCTCGGCAGGCGCCCAGTGTGTGCAGGGTCTCGATGGGCGTGAAGGAGGGTCCCAGGCCCTGCCCTGGCTGCACAGCCCATGACGGGCCTCCAGGGAGCTCCTGCGGCCGGTGGTTCCCAGGATGAACCAGTGAGACTGTTCTGAGGGCCGAGCAGGGTGTGGCGTCCCTGGCGGCGTGTGTCGGGGGCGGGGGCAGTGCTGGGGCGACAGGAGCAGTGCCCCTGCGGTCACAGGTCACAGGTATGAGGGGGCTCAGCGCGCCCCGACCGGTGTGGAGGGAGTGCCAGGTGGACAGAACCCGCTGCAAACACGCCAAGCCCCGTGAGGGGGACGGGAGCGGATCTGGGGAGCCAGGCCGGACTCCGGTCCTCCGGGCCGTGGTGCTTAGAGACCACAATGTCCCCCTGTGGGGCCTCGGGGCTTCCGTCTGTGGGGGTCACCGTGCTGAACGGCACCCATGTTCTGTTGTTGTTGTTTGTTTTAAAAATTATTCTTACTGATTTCAGAGAGGAAGGGAGAGGGAGAGAGAGAAACATCAGTGATGAGAGAGAATCATGGGTCGGCTGCCTCCTGCACGCCCCACACTGGGGATCGAGCCCACAACCCGGGCCTGTGCCCTGACCGGGAGTCCAACCGTGACCTCCTGGTTCATCAGTGGACGCCCAACCACTGAGCCACGCCAGCCAGGCCCCTGTGCTTCTGTTTCCATCAGCAGGTGTGTTGTACTAACATCTCACCAAGACAGGGATACAGGAGGGGCAGGGAAGCTGAGAGTGTGTGCCTGTGCGCGAGCGCGCGCGCGCGCGTGTGTGTGTGTGTGTGTGTGTGTGTGTGTG